TACACACCACACCTGGTCCTTAGCTCCATTCAAGTGCAATTATAACACTACCTATTTCCAAGATGCAGAATGCCTGGCCTCCAGCAATGCTGCTACAATTAGAGTGGAATTTGTTGTACTGTTTTTATTTGTGCTGTAATTAAGTATTAATCCCCAAGAAACTGGTCATCAGCAGTACATAATAGCCCACTTGCTAGTTAAACTTGGCAATGAGCAGTTAACACTGGAGGGGGGGAGGCCCTCAATCCCATCGGTATAAAAATGCTGTGGTGCTTTCATTGGAAGGCATTCACTGCATGTGATGTGAAATGAATTATCCATAATAGTAACTTTCAGTAGTGGCTCCCAGAAAATATTTTAACAGCTGAGGCTGTATGTGAATTATCAGAAAATTGTATTTGTTGTCTGCTTTAATATCTGGCTCTGTTGCAAATCCAATAGGGAATTACTGTGTATACAGAGATGTTCCTGTCCAAACTATCCTGTTGATTGATAAGAAAGAAAGAGAAACCTGGCATAGATGTGTAATATTCGATTTCTTAGAAGACCTCCTGGGTGGCACCCACTGTGGTGATTAAGGCTGCCAGATCCCATTAACATTAACGGTACTTGTACAATGAGTTTCCCATGTATTATAGAGAACGTCTCTCCTGATAGCGTTTTGAGAAAGCAAGATGCCAGGTGAACTCAAAATACATGAAGTAACAGAACTGCTTTTCCCTCCTGTGTAGAAGTCAAGAGCAGACCCTGTCACTGAAAATGTTCATCAGTCAGTTAAGTCTTGCTGCGTTTGATGATATTACAAACCACAAAGTGTCATCTGAACTTCTGCGTCTCACAGCAGACAATGTTTTCCTCCACATGGCCCCAGCCACCAACTACTTGAGACCCCTGTCGCAGGAGTTCCAGCGGGACGCTGTGGAAGGCCTCCCACAATTTCATTGTCTCCAAGTGTATTGTGAAGACTTGCAACTGGACAATCAGTTGTACAGCAAATCCAATTTCCATTTTGCAGTCCTGCTGTGCCAAGGAGAGAAAAATGAGACGATGCAGTGGTCCAGAGTGAACAACCTCATTGTTTGTAACAAAGATTTGGAAAGCTATAAGGAAAACTGCTTTATAAAACTCTGCATTGCTTTTTCCAAGGAAGAGAATTTCGTGTTTCACATGAATGACCTCAGCTTTGAGCTCAAACCAGCTAGGCTGTATGTGGAAGACACCTTTGTTTACTACATTAAGACTTTGTTTGATACATATCTTCCAGAAAACAAAACCGCTTGTCAGTCTGTGAATACTTCAGATACTACGCTGATACTGCCTGAACAAGTGAGAGAGCATGCAAGAGCTTTAGTCAAGCCAGTGAAGTTAAGAAAATTAACAATACAACCTGTTAATCTCCTTGTCAGTATTCATGCTTCATTGAAACTGTATATAGCGTCAGATCACACCCCTCTCTCCTTCTCTGTGTTTGAGCGAGGACCCATCTTCACCACTGCCAGGCAACTTGTCCATGCCTTGGCCATGCATTATGCTGCTGGAGCACTTTTCAGAGCAGGTCAGTACTTTTCCATAACATGTAACATTTTCATTAGGTACCAGGATTCTGTGATTGTCTCTCAAGCTGAATAACCTAGATGGTAGCCATACAATTATTGTTTTCTTCAAACACTGTTTGATAATTATATTTTCAGACACCTTTCATGTCCTGCCATACAACAGAAGGGAAATAAAATGGCTGAGCAGACACTAGTGAAGATTTGTAAAGTTGTGCTAAACATTAGCCAGCCGCCTGCAGGCTTTATGAAACCCTGAACACAGCATAAAAATGTATTCTAGCTGGCTTAGATTTTGTCATTTTATATTATAGCACTAGTCAGAATCAACCCGCATTCCTCACATAAACTCCCCAAAACTGCATTTAATCAAATTATTCAGCATGTTGCTCTGCATTCAGAAGTAAATTATAGCCCTGAATGTTGTTTTGTTGTTAAAACTCCTTTTGGCTGCAGTTTATGATTAGGAATCTGTCTTTCTTCATACAGCCTTCATGCTAAACTGGCACACAGATGTTTGTTGTCCTTTGATCCAAGAACTATGAAGTTTGCTGTTACTAACTTTTTTCCATATAGGATCAATAGTGAGCAATTAGTCTATTAGGTTAGCAGGTACATTCTGTTTCCCATAAATATTAATTTAGAAATAATGAAATTTGGTCTCTACTGTGTCTTAGTGTGGAACGGAATTTGTACCTGAGACAGGAGGAAGCTCCTCCATGATCCCACACAAGTAAAGTACTCCACACTGAAACGTGGGATTTATTTTCCTGCAATACTAATGGTCAGATTTTCTGAAATCCTGATGCTTCCATTTGTGCTGCACACATAGCTGCAACCTGATTTCTGTGCACAGTTTCCAAAATTGTACACATGCATTTCAGGTATTTATAAACAGAGAGATGCTGATGTGGTCTCTCACTGTATGCATACGTGACTTGCATAGCTGATTATGGCAACTGTGTACACAATTGTGCACCAGAACATTGTGCATCGATTCATTATTTTCTTGCATTATTTTGCTTGCAAAATTTGCAGGTTTTTCTTTTTACTACTTGTTTGGATTTGTTTTACAGTCAAATCCCATAGTACAAAAGGGGAGATCTAGTTTCTTGCTAATTAAGAGTGAAACTGTGGCCAAATATGGTCCACAGTGTGAACGTTTCTCCCCACAACTGGCTAGGAGTGGTGATACAAGTGGTGATAGACTGCAGCAGGAAATTGGGGTTATACTGGCTTTTCATCCTCAACGTCCCAGGTGAGGCACATATGCTAGTGATGGATTCCTGAGCCTGGTCTTGGTCTTTCCTCCTGTGCTACCCTTGCAGCGTGCAGCAGTGCACAGGCCACCCCTTGCTCTGGGCTCATGATGTAGCTGAAATCAAGCAGGTTTAAATATTAAGAAATAAGGTTTGCTTCAGTGGAACTTCTCTTCAGGAAAATACATAAGCATATGTTTAGTTACTACTTAAATCCCTCTCAAAGCACTAAAACTAAAATGTATTTTTGAAAGTGGTTACCATGATTAAAATGGTGAATTGTGTTGATTAATGTTTGCTTGGGCAAAGAAGATGCTTTATTTTGAAGAGTTTGTGACACTTGTCAAAAGGCTGACTGTGTCAACAAAGTTAAAAAGGAGGAAAAAATCGAGCAAAAAGCTTTATATGGTCTGCAAACCATGAGTCCTCTCCTCACCATCACGTGAGTTACACTTCTTGGATTGGTCTCTTATGGAAGAGGACCTGACTTTCCTGCATTTTAACCACGTTAATCTGCAAAACGAGGGATTGTTTGACCCTGCTTCTGCTCACCACTGCCCCATGCATAGATCAGTGTAGCATCTGCACAAACAGCATTTCCATACAGCTATGCCTTATGCTCCAAGCAGGATATAGTCTCATTTTGCCCTTAGTGTGTGCAAGACCATTGCTGCGCAGTGGGAGGGGGCAGGATTTGCCCCAAAGCCTGCTAAAGGGAGCGTATCAGCCTGCCCCATATGTTGCAAAGGAGCAGCCAGAATCCATGTCTCGTAAGCAATGAATGGGGCTGGAGAGGTCTGCTCAAATACGCTGATTAGCATTGCTTGTCTCTAATTAGCAAAACTTGCAATGGAAATCTCCCATCCTTTTCTAATTAAGTTGGCTTCTATTTAAAAGTTAATAAAATTCTATTTAAAAATATTACTGGTATTAGCCAGATCTAACTCTATAGTTGCCTATAAAGAAAATGCAGTGGCTCTCTGCTAGTATAGTCATAATCAGTGGATATAATTCCTAAGCATACTTTGGGAAATGGTAACCTGACATGATACTATATTTCTGCAAAGTAAAATGCAGCACAGAGCTTGTGAATTGAGGGATTATTCCTGATTCATCATTTTCCTGTTCCCAACTTACTCCCACGCCTTCCTCCTTGGGTTGAGTGGTCCATGCCAGCAGTGAGGAGCCATTAGTTTTGCTCTGAGCATTGGACAAGGAGGGTCACCCTTGCTGCAGGTTGCACGTTCCTCCCGTGCGCTCTCCATGGGTGAGCATGCTCCTTCCAGAGCTTCCCAAAACTGACAGCCCACAGGCCAGGCCAGACTGCAACAGCCCATCCCCGGGATACCAGGCAACCCCTCAGCTTTGTGTTTAACTGGTTTCATTCCTGGTTTTAATCTGGTTTTCATTCCTGAACACGCTGGCTGGCCAAACAGGTGAGTGAGTGGAGTTGGAGTCTCTCGTGTCCCAGCCTGGTGGTGCCTGCAGGGCAGAAAGGCATTAATCCGCGGTGTCGTGCAGCCCCTTTCCGTCACCTCATGTCATCCCATCACTGCCTCAGGACAAGGAATGCCAAGGACATTTGGAAAAAACAAAAAAAAAAGGCTGTTTGCAAGGGATTATTGCAACATTATTTATCAGAAAAAGCAGAGAGAGCATCTCTTCCATCTGTACACACCTCCCCGCCCCTCCAGCTTTTCATCACTTCACACAGTGGCAAGGATAATTTGTTAAAAATACTACAGTGAGAGGGTCACAGGCCCAGCCTGGAGCACTGGCTTCCCCTGGTCCCCGGCAGGGAAGGACTGCCAGGGGGACGCTCCTCTCCAGGGCAGGCACCGCAGGACCACAGCGCTCATTGCCACTCTGCTCATCGCGTTGCCAGCAGTACTTGTTTTTTGTTTTCATAGTCCATCCCACCCTCTCCCTTATGTCCACTGTGGTTCCTGCTTTTTATACTACATGAACTGGAGTTCTCAACCTGCCAGGGCTGAAATGTGGGACAGATTCAACAAGAATAATAGATTTTCCAGGAGCTTACAATGATAGTATGAGATTAATTCATTTCATATGAGTAACATTTTCTCTTCTGTTCAGTTTCATGATTCAGCCTTCCACAGGAGTGACTGGGAGGGGTTACTAGAAAACAAGAAAAGCATCTGGATAGCAGGAGTTTGCAGTGATGAGATGGGAATGAGGAGGGCAGCGCAGATCAAGGGCCCTTGACAGGAGAGCAGGAGGCCAATCTGTCCATCTTTCAGTCTCCTGGCCCTGCCGCGACTTGTGTCACTCTGACAGTGCCAGTTGAAATTCATGGTACCGGGGCTCAAAGACCAAGCAGTTCCCATTTAATGTTTATTGCCATTTCTGAATCGCTCTCTCTGGGCTGCTGAAAAAAAGTTATGCAGCACTATTTCCCTAATAAATCTGCTGCCAACCAGCCTGAGAAAGACAAGACCTGCAAACAGCTTTCCAGCAACAGATTGCTGTGCGCTCGGCCATCCAGCAAGCTGCTGGCAACCCTGCGTTTATATAGGAAACCAGATCTGCAGATACCTCTCCTGGGATATGCATAAGGAATACTCCCCTATGAGTAACCTAATCAGCATGTAGATGTCATTGCTGTTTACACAACTGTACTGAGCAAAAGACATTTATCTGGCTTTCACTGCACTCTGAAAGAAAATGATCAGCTTAGAAAGGTTGGGGTGGATTTAAAATAACTTCTTAAGCACTTGTCAAAAATCTGCATCCCCTTTCCTAACACTCCATCAGGCAATTGACCTCCACACTCCGGTAAAGCAGTACATTGTATCAGTGTAAACTCCCTGTCACAATTCTATCACATAAGGATGTGAAATCACAACGCTGCCTTATAGCGTCTAAAACCGACCCAGCGACCTGAACTTGCAGTCCCGTTCCTCCGTAGCTGTGAGGCTCTAGCATCCCCCTCTCTAGCACACTTTTAGCAGAAATACGGGAAGCTCCTGGAAGGAAGTCATTCTAAAGCTATTTGTGAGTTTGCCAAAAGGATTTCTTTGATTTACGAAGTATGAAAGATTGCCATTTCTGAATTCATAGTGGATGAGTTATTTCCCGTGTTTTGCTCAAAGGAAGTTCATAGTGCGATGAATTCTAGTGTGAAAAAGAGAATTAAAGAATAACCTTTTCACAACTGCTGCTTCTGCAGTTTTTGCAGCCGTAACATGTGTCTTGTTTCTCCACACAGGCTGGGTTGTCGGATCGTTGGAAATTCTCGGAAGCCCGGCTAGTCTGGTGAGAAGCATAGGGAACGGCATAGCCGATTTCTTTAGGCTCCCCTATGAAGGGCTGACCAGAGGCCCAGGAGCATTTGTCAGTGGAGTTTCCAGAGGAACAACATCATTTGTAAAACACATTTCCAAAGGTAGATCTTTCACTTTGTTGCTCCAACTACTGCTTTATTGTCATGCGTTGTTAAAGGATGTGTTAAAGTTTTAAACAATATTGCTTGCAGCTTTGTTTGACTTGCTAGGCTGCAGCGAAATGCTGGGAGGGTAACAAAGCTCATATATAACATCTTATGTATTAAACAGATCACCGCTTAACTACAGTGTGTGAGAATGTTTCAGAAACTTCAGAATTTTAAACCTCCCAGTGGAAAACAGAGATTGGCTCAGCCAGTATTTCATGTGATAGCTGCAGAAATATTAAAGGTGTTCTGTACTTCTGCTAACCATCAGAAATTCTACAGTGTCGCCTCATCATATTTATTATTTCTTTTTTTCAAAAAAAAAAAAAAGTAGATACAGTTGTCATAACTGTGTAAGTACGTGGGTAGGTTTTGACAGCAGGGCTGGTCTGGCCTGAGAGCAGGAGCAGCTTTTGTTTTGCGAAGTCTGTATAAACAGTGCCATCGCGTGGCTTCAGCCGCCCGGGGAGAGACTGCGGGGTGGCTGCCCCAGCTGCTCGCTGCTGCTCCAGGCTCCCTCAGGACACATCCTCCTGGGCTCCTTCTGTAAATATTTGTTTACCTTTCCATCACCCCCCCTCCGTTGAGGTTAGCCTTACAGAAGTTTGGGAACTGGGGAGGGATGTTCGGATGAGTTGCTGTTCCCACCGGCCGGGCAAACCTGGTGCAGGCTAATGTAAAAGGCGTGACATGGACCGTAGAAGTAGTGTGGTGATGCTTAACAAATAGTAAAGCATGTTACACATGGGTGACTTTTCAATTGACTTGCTGTTCTGCTCGTAAGCTCAGTATTTCAGTGAGGCATAGAACGTCTCCATGTTTTAAATTAAAGCATTTTGATCCAGACCCAAATGTAGATCTCCATGTATTTAGGTACACTGACGTCAATTACCAATCTGGCAACGAGTCTTGCTCGGAATATGGATAGGCTGTCACTGGATGAGGAGCATTACAACAGACAAGAAGAATGGAGAAGGCAGCTTCCAGAGAGCCTGGGAGAAGGACTGAGGCAGGGGCTCTCTCGTTTAGGCATTAGCCTTCTAGGTAACGTACTATTAAATATCAAGTTGAGTGATAATACTGTTTTCTGATCTGCTCACCAGCCTTTTCTACATGTGAGTTATAACTGCAAAATCTGTTTGTTTTGGGGGTTTTTTTTGTGAAATATATGAGATACTGTTTCTTTTCATCAAGGTTTAGTGACTTTCATATATGTGTTTTGCTGATAAAATAATTGCAGATATAGAACAAGTTTGCACTCTCTTTGTGAAATAATATTTTCATTGGTGCATGATGCATAGCTGAGAAGAGAAGAATAATTCTGCATTGGGCAGGGTGACGTGTAACTAAGTCAGCACAAAGACGTCATCACGCTGATGTTTACTTCCCAATGAGTTACAGGAAT